CTTTCCTGGCACTGTGACAGCTCAGCACGCAGATGCCTCCTGGCACTGGGCAGTGAGACCCTGGGGGCAAGGGGCACGGGGGCACCCCGGGGTTGTGCTGGGCCTGGCCCTGTGAGCAGCTAGCTCCAAGAGGCAGTGGACGGCACAGAGGAGGAAGGAACGTGGGAGGCCCTTCAGGCCAGCCCAGCGGGGTCCTCTCACCACTGCAGAGCAGGAAGAGAGCTCTGGCCAGAAGAGTGAGAGCCAAATGAATGGGGCCTCTCTGTGGCGGAACATTGTAGAAGGCTGGGCCTGCCATGGACCTGGGGTCCCCTCCCAGCACTCCCATTCCAGAACAGCTGGGCTAGAGCGAGTGCAGGCTCCGCTGCAGCCCGGGGCCTTGTGAGGGCCTTTGCAGTGAGTCTCTGCATCCTTTCCTGTGAGTCTTTCCAGGGAGGGGTTTCTGACAGCACATGGAAGAGGACTCTGCGTTTGTGGGTGCAGCCTGCACAGAGAGGGCTTCAGCTTCCTGGGGGTGATCGCGAGGCCAAAACAGGACCATCAGAGACAGAATTTGGCGAGACAGAATTTCTCTCTCTGGGATTGACTGAGAAGAGATGATGCCAGTGAGTCTGTGCTCCAGACACAGGAGGCAGGGATGGAGCAGGGCACCCTCCACTTGTGCTGGGACACCTAGTTGGCAGGAGATTGCAAGGAGGACAAGGTGGCCCTGTCGGTTCCTCCCAGACCCTGCAGTTACCCCCTTGGGTTCAAGTTGGCTGTCTAGAGCCCCAGTAGCTGGAAGGTCATGCCTTCCAGGGCTGTGGGGGATAAATGAGATCGGGGGAGGGTGGGCGAGGCAGACCCCACCTGTGTGTCAGGTGCTCCTGCCCATGCTGGGCTCCGCAGGGGTGTGCTGTGCGCGGGAGACATCTCCCACTGCCTGGACCCTGTCTCCTCCTCTCATGTGCTCAGGGACTCTGCCCAGCCCTCGAACTTGTCTCCCAACTATTTACCAATGCTTTGCCTGCAATCCCAGGCCCTGAACTTTAGTTTGCAGAGAGCAGAGGCAGGGGAAGGGAGTTGCTTTGTGACTCATGAAGTCACATAGGCAGGACTGCAGCAGAACCACAAATAAGGGACTCCAGTTGGCAAAAACCAGACTGCTTCAAGGCTATTCTTGGAAGCTAAAGCATCACATCTTGTTTCTTCCCAGAAAGTACAGAAACCTTTCATATTTCTGGCTAGTTGGTTTTATTTCTATTTCATACCAAACTCCAAAAAGCTGACAGCAGGGAGACTTCAGCCAGAGCCAGTCACCCAGGATCCTCTAATTGAACAAACCTTGAGCATTTAGGGCCCAGGGAAGGGTATGCCCCGAACACACCAGTTCTCCGGGAGAAAGGCCTGAAGCTCACTTACTGATTGCTTCTAAGAACAAGGTCGGCCTTTCTAGTTCATGCCCGACACCACCCTGTGCTGTGTCTTTTCAGGTCCATTACCCGGGAAACTCTGGGTCCTGCTTTATGTATGGGAAATTTAAAACTCGAAAGTTAAGTGATCTGTCCCTGGCTACACATCTAGGAATTTCTCTCTTAAATTAAAGGCTGTGTCCTCTGGTTTTATTGTGCATACACCTCCTGGGCCTGGGAGGTTAGGCAGCCAGGAATCATGTTCCTTTGTCCCCTTCCTTTTGGTTTAATGGTGTTAGGGCCATTTGAAGGATAGTAATGAGTGCAAATTATCGTGGGACTGCCAAGTGCTACATCCATCGCAACCCCGATCTCATTTATCCCCCACAGCCCTATGAAGGGAAAGGTGGCATCCCCATTTCCCAGATGAGAAAGTTGAGGCAGAGACAGATGCGATAATTTGCCTAGCATTACACAGCGAGCAAGTGCCTGAGATTGGATGCACTCCCAAGCTTGCCCGACTCCACGTATTCTGACGTTCGCCTGCAGGGTAGCTGCCCACTATGGGTATCAGACATTTTTAAGGTCTTTGGCTTGAATTGGAAAGCTGGTTTAAAAGGTTAGCATAGACTGTTTAGCTCCAGGGAGGCAGGTCTCAGCCTGGTACGGGCTGCTGGGGTACATGTCCAAGGCTGTCCTTATCTGCTCCTGTCCAGCCATCTCCCCCCACCTCCTCTTATCTCGCTCTAGATAAGAGCTGGTTCCTGCAGCTCCCACGCCCACCCAGAGCCCTCAGCACCACCCTTGGCTCTTTCTCCGCTGCAGCCCAAGATTAAGTTGTTCATTTTTCTCTGGGGGGGAGGAGGGGTGGCACTTGGGGCTAGGAGAAGACAGGTTCTTCCAGTTTGTAAATTATTGTCTGGGAGTCAGGTCTGTCTTGATACTTGTAACCAGTGCATGATTTTAGACCAGGAGGAGGTGGTGACTTGGAGACCTGATTTACAAAAGGATTTTTTTCAAACCCATGCATCCCTTTTCCCCACCCCTCCCCCCACCACCGTTGGAGTCTGCGCTGCATGGTTGCCACGTTCCCAGATTCCCAGCCGGGTTCCCAGGCCCGGCTCGGCCGCCACTCGTGTTTCTCTTGCCTTTTCACAGCCCTCACAGCCAGGTAGAGGTGATCAGTCAGCTCTTAGAAAAGAAGAAACGAGGCTTGGCAATTACGTGGCTTTCATGAGGCCACGGGGGTGGTGAGGGCCATGCCCAGCTCTGGACCCAGCTCCCGGAGCTCCACACGTGGTCTTCTGTGCCCCACCTGCCCGTGCTCAGAAAGGCCCGTCTCCAAACAGTGGAATTCAGGGGCCTGTACTGGTCGGCCAGCTACCACCTCCTTTGCTCAAGGCTGGGTGCAGGGGTGGTCCCCAAGATGGATAAGGTGTGAACAGGCTCTGCAAAGCAAGCCAGCACTTCTTTCTGCCGGTGCCATCTGGGTGGCGAGTGTAGCACGAGGAGGGGATGTTGAGACAGAGGAGGCAGTGTTTATGTGAGTGATGCCAAAGCAAGCACCGTGGACATCAAAGAAGCCGAGCCCCATGCCTCTGCCGTCCCTCCCGTGGGCCCTCTGCACTCCTTGCGGCTCTGCTGGCGCCTCCTGCTCGGGGCATCCCACAAGCACTTGCCTGTTGTCTGGTGATCAACTCTGGACCCACCTGTCTTCCTCCACAGGCCGTGCCTGACCCACTGCTGGCCATCTCTGTATGTCCAGCACCTAGGGGAATGCTGTTCTCCAGTTAAGACACCAGTAATTGTTGCTGAATGAATAAGAGATTAGGGAGGAAGATAAACACGGGCTTTGCCTGTTACTATTATAAAGCCAACTCCAGCCTGTACCCATGAAAACTGCTGCCATGGCTGAGAGCCACCCTGAGGGCCTGGTGCTCCCAGTGCTTGCTGGCCTCCTCTCCCAGGCCCTGCAGGGAGCTCAGCCTGCAGAACCCCACAGCCCACTGGACGGCAGGCCCAGGGCCAGTCCCTCCACACTGGTGGTCTTGCACTAGCTTTGGATTTTTGAAAAACAGCTAGTGCAGTGGAAAATCAGTCCTGCTTAATTTTCGTTCCTTTGTGACTTAAATGGTTTTCTGAAGAATAAAAAGATGCCTGAGGTTAGAGTGGCACAATGAAGGGAAAAGGCCAAGACCAAAACCCAGGCGAGCTATTTTTGTGATGTGAATGAACACCCATTGCGCTCTTCCCTTCCGTCTGCCTGAGCACTTGTTCCAAGCACAGCGTGGGCTTGTGGGGCACAGGCACCTGCTGTACTGGACAAAGAGGCCCACGTGTCTGTGTGTGTGTGTGGCTCACTGAGGGAGACGGTGTGCTCCCAGCAGGAACCAGCCGGAAGTTGCTCTTGGTCCTCTGGGCAGGGGAAAGACTTCCTGTCTGCCTCTCTTGGACCAGGCGGGGTGGTCATGATGCCTAGAGGGGCATGAGTTGGGGATTCTGCTTTTTTGTCTCTGTACTGATGTCACGTGGCTGGGTTATGTTCTTCTGAGTGAACCCATCCGCAGCCCTCAGGAGGGAGTTTTTAGCTGTGGTGAATTCTAGTGTCCTTCTCTGGCTTTTCCTTTACTCACTCTTTCCAGAACCATGTTGCTTGCTCATAGCAAGAGTGACCAGGGTGTAACTTTGCATAGTTTGCGGTGGTTTGCAGTCAGGGAGGAGAGTGGGTTGCTGGGCAGAGATCACCAGCTGCACCTCATTGCCACATTGCACGTTTTCTGTAGATGGTTTATGGTTAGCATTATTAAGAAGTAAGGTTGGCCGGCGCCACGGCTCACTAGGCTAATCCTCCGCCTTGCGGCGCCGGCACACTGGGTTCTAGTCCCGGTCGGGGCGCCAGATTCTGTCCAGGTTGCCCCTCTTCCAGGTCAGCTCTCTGCTGTGGCCAGGGAGTGCAGTGGAGGATGGCCCAAGTGCTTGGGCCCTGCACCCCATGGGAGACCAGGATAAGTACCTGGCTCCTGCCATCGGATCGGCGCGGTGCACTGGTTGCAGCGCGCCGGCTGCGGCGGCCATTGGAGGGTGAACCAACGGCAAAGGAAGACCTTTCTCTCCGTGTCTCTCTCTCACTGTCCACTCCTGCCTGTCAAAAAAAAAAAAAAAAAAAAAAGAAGAAGAAGAAGAAGAAGAAGTAAGGTTAATGGGCTGGCATGTGGCACAGCAGCTAAATCACCGCTTGGGATGCCTGCTTCCCATATCGGAGCGCCTGGTGTGAGTCTCAGTTCCTCTCCTCAGATCCAGCCTCCTGCTCATGCGCACCCTGGGAGGCAGCAGGTGATGGCTCTGGTGCTTGGGTCCCTGCTACCCATGTAGGAGACCGGGAATAAACCAACAGATGGAAAATCCATCTCTCCCCCTCTCTCCTTCTCTCCCTCTCCACCCCTGTTTCTCTGCCTTTCAAGTAAAAAGGAAAATAAACGTTTTTTAATTTAAGAGTTAGGGTTAATATTTGGTATCTTGAAGGGATTTTACTGTAAAGTCTCAGCACCCATTCCTCCATCCTGCGCTCATGGCCCACAAAGCTCACCTGTGCCTTCACCTCCTTTGCAGGCGTGTCATTTCTGCGGGTACTTCATGGTGTTCTCCTCTGCCCTGTCCACCCGCTGCTCTGTGCGACTCCTGAACCATGGGAGAAAACGAGGACGAGAAGCAGGCCCAGGCAGGCCAGGTTTTCGAGAACTTCGTCCAGGCTTCCACATGCAAAGGTACCCTACAGGCCTTCAACATCCTCACCCGTCAGCTGGACCTAGACCCTCTGGACCACAGAAACTTCTACTCCAAGCTCAAGTCCAAGGTGAACACATGGAAGGCCAAAGCCCTGTGGTACAAATTGGACAAGCGTGGCTCCCACAAAGAGTATAAGCGGGGGAAGTCGTGCATGAACACCAAGGTAAGGGGAAACCTCATCACAGAGGCTTCTAGCCCTGCAGGGCGCCGGGGCCGACCTTGGGAGCTGGGGGAGGGGCTTGGGAAGTGAGGGAGGGGTTGCTCTTGTTTGGTAGCTATGGGGTAATTCTTGTGTTGTTTTGTTCGGTTGAGGGTTCCTTCGCCTATGTGCCCAGCTTACCCTGCCTGGGAGGTCCCATCTTACCCTGGGGGCCTCTGCATCTCTCTGGTGCCATCTCCAAGGGAGAAAAATGAAAGCCGAGATTGAGGGGAGGGTGTTAGAGACCTGACCTCATCCTTCTGGGACCACATCTTGCCGGGACCACTACGACTTGTAATATCTGCAGTTTATCATAAAGAAGCTTCTGGGCTCTGGGTGCTTGATGTCCATGATCTCTCTGAACACCCTCAGTAGACCCCTGGGCCGTGTTGGAGATGCAGAAACTGGGGACTGGTTCTCTTGTTTGAAGGCACATACCTGGAGGGCAACCTTGGTTTGTCCCAGATCCCACAGAGAGGTGTAATTAAGGAGTTCTCTTCCCCCAGGAACAAACATGTCAGAAAGATCCCTGGGTGTTGTAGCAGTGGGCTAAGAAGTGGGTCTTTGGCCCTTACTGCCGCTTCCTCCTTCTCTCTCTCTCTTTTTCTGCTGACCCCCGCTGCCACCCCCCACTCTCCCCGGATCGTTTCTGTGCTCAGGATCCCAATGGGAGCTAACCCTCCACAAGCTAAGGAAGTGTCAGTGAACGGGGCTGACAGAGCCCCACGGGCCTGATATCCCTCAAGTGCCCCCAGCACATGGGACAGCCAGAAGTCAAGGTTTCCCTGCGGGCCCTTGGGGGCTGTTGGCCCTGGGCGCTGGTCCAGGCTGTGTGTTTAGGTTAAAATCCAACGCGCTGCATTTAGACCTCACAAGAGGTAGCTAAGCCAGAGCCCTCGGAATTCCAGTCGGTGCCAATCCCAGGACAAGGGGATTGAACTCTCCATGGCAATGGGGACTGTTGTGCTTTTGTTTTGGTGATGGGGAGCTGGTGAGTCCGCCCTGGGACACGGCTGCTTTCCACTGCCCCTAGGGAGACAGCTGCCAAGCTCCTGTGAGCCTGGGGCGCAGAGGCTGGCTGGAGCATGGGAGTGCATTCCAACAGTCTGAAACAAACAGTCGCTTCAGCCCAGGACATGCCACCCATCCTGGCAGTGCTGCCCATGCTGCTCCTCCAGCCTCAGGTAGAGGAGATGTGGTGGTGGGAGAAAAGGAGGGGGAGCGGTGTTGGGACCCATGTCCTGGGTGCCACTCCTTCCAGTGCCTCCCTTCTTGCTTGTTTTAATTTCATGGTCTTAGTTCACTGGGCAGTGAGTTAGAGGAAGGAGAAGTTTCTGGTTTTACAGAATCAACCCTTGGGACATTTGGATCTGGCTAAAAGGTCCATGAGAGTCTCACAGGCATGGGAAGCCATGACACGGTGGCAAAAAACAATCTAAATGAAAGATCCTGGTGAACAAGACCCCAGCAGAAGGAACAGGCCATCAAGGAGGGAGGCGCCTTTCTCTGAAGGGAGGAAGGAACCTCCACTGTGATACGGCCTTGACTAAACAAGTTCAGAGTCGGTGAACTCGAGGGGCTTCCATAGCCTAGACAGCTCATAGCAAGAGTCTTGGGTGATTGCTGACGTTATAAATAAGAGTGCCAATTGCTAAATCAACAACGGGAGTCACTGAGTACAGGCTCCCCACGTAGGATCTCTGTCCTTAATGTGTTTTACTATGAAACTTAAAAACAAAACTACTAGTCGAACAATGCCCTATACCTTATGCGGTTGTGTGAGTGCAGCCTGTTGAAATCCTTGTTTAGTGTATACTAAGTTGATCTTCTGTACATGAAGGTAATTGAAAATGAAACTCAATGAAGGGCGGGATGGGAGAGGGAGTGGGAGAGGGGAAAGCCACGGGAGGGAGGGAGGTTGGGTTGGGGGGAGCCACAACAATACAAAAGTTGCACTTTGTAATTCACATTTATTAAATTAAAAAAAAAAAAAGAAAAAAAAAGAAATTTCTGGTTTTAAAGGTGTCACCCTTTTCAGTAACTGTTCATGGTTTGGAAAAGTCCTATAGAAGCCAGGTGGCTCTGCTGCGTATGTTCTCATGGTGTCTTCAGGGTTCCTGTTGAATTAGGCAGTGCCCCTGCTCTGAACGTCCAGTGCATTGTGGCCACTGGGGGACTGCCTTGGCGCTCTGAAGGCCCTCTGCGGAGTCAGCTGACAGAGGGGTGGGGCGGAAGGCTGGCAGGAGCAAGATGCTGTTATTCCAGAGACCACTCACTGGTTGGTTGCCTCTTCCGTGGGTCCAGCCCTCGTCTCACGAGCTTCGATGGCTCCAGCTGGAAGCGTGCTGGTGTCTTGTGGCTGGCAGGTCACCACGGGCAAAGTTAGTGATGCTAAGCACAACTGGCTCTCGCCTGGGGATTAAGTTAAGTCTTCCTTACAAAGACATTTGGAAATTGTGATAGCCCAATGCTTATCCAAACCACCTGGCCACGGGGGTGAGGGAGACACATGCGCTGTGAGCACGGATTCTGACTGTGTGAGCTGTGCATCGTAGAACTGCAGAGCAGGTTAACCGAACAAAACTGGAAAATCATTAACTTGCACAAACCGGAAGGTCCGGGCTGGTCAGGGGCTTTCCCAGTTCCTTCTCTTTCCATGCGCATCTTGGACATTTTGCTGTGTGGCCTCTGTTCTTCCCTCCCGCAAACAGATTTTTCTCTTTGTCAATAAGTGGCTTCTTATTCACATCTTTATAGCTCCGTGATCCTGAAGGCTGGGATCATTCTCATTCTCTTCCGGCTCAAAACTGAAAAATATCTGCAGGGAAGGATTCTGATTGGCTGGTGTCTGGAGTACGGCTCCTGTGACTGGCAGCACTGGCCAGCATCACCTGATAGATGACACGAGGGAGGGGCAGCCCAGGGACGTGGGGGTACAGAGCAGCCACAGCTGTCCTCTATGGAGAGTGTTTGCATTCTGGTTATGGTTTCGGCCCACCCCACGTGGGATTCAGGGGTGCACAGTTAACGCTCAGCTCTAAGGAGCAGTTCTTGTACTCCTTGTTGTGAGTCAAGCAAAACACAGGCCAAGGCTGCTGCCTCTCTTCCAACGTGAAGAGTGTGGCTCACATACTGCACTAAGGTATGCCTTGGCCTAACAGTGCTGAGCGTCATCCAGACAGGAGATACGGGGCATGAGCGTAGCTGTGGCCGATCACCAGTGCTGAGCCAGAGTGCAGATGGATCGGGACCAGGCACAAAGCCAAGCTCCCGGTGAGCCATAGGTGGAGCAGGAATCAGTGCAGCTCAGGCCGACTCCTGCCTTGGCACTGATGTGGACACATCTCAGAACCATTTGGAGTGGGGTTGGGTGTCAGCATCTCACATGCAGTCACCAGCCCCTGCCACTGTGCTGAGCTCTGTGCCGCGCCGTTCACTCCCTCGGTGAGTGTGTGTGCGTGCACGTGCTGGGGGCGGCGGCGGTGGGAGACAGGGGACAGAAGTTCTGGTGGAGGTGCCAGGGGACAGGGAGGATGAGCTGCCAGGCCGCCAGAGCACTGACTCAGGTGGTGTTGCATAATCTAACTTGGGATCATTGTTTATTATTATTATTTATGAGGGTTTTCGTCAGGCACTTTATGCTTCTTTCCCGGGGTGTGACTCTGTTTGGCTAAGAACAGGGTGAACCAAGGCACAAGCCAGTTAACTCACTCAGCACTGATGTCAGCGCCGCATTTGGGTGACACCTGGCTCAAGTGTCAAGTGAGTGGCGTTCCCAGGGGAAGCTTCCCGGGAGAACCTGTCATGCATGCTTTGGCATGGGAGCCGCCATAATCCCGGATCAGGGATTCTGGTTATTTTTCATGGAAATGCTTCAGTGATGGAAGGAACTTAGCAGCATAGCCTCTGCATTCAGTCAGTGGGTGCAAACAGGGAAGCCGGGACGCCGAAGCTGGTGAGCGGCATTGCTGGGATCTGGACTCTGTTTCCTGGCTGGCTTTGTTATGCTTTGGCGCATTCGCTCATTAGCAGGTGTTTCCAGCGCCCTACACCTGCCAAGGCATTTGGTAGGAAGGAGGTTCAGATGATGAAAAAGTTCTCACTTGAGCTTTCTATAAAGGAGTCAGAAGTAATGTAATTATTTGCATATTTATTCACTTACTAAATTATTCATGGGGCGAATAATTATTGAGTAGCAACTGGGTATCAGGCACTTGTCCAGGTATCAGCCACTTGATAGCTCTGTGGCCTCAGGCAAGTTGCTTAACATCTCTGATCTTCAGCAGCATTCTCAGTTAGGGGAGAATAATAGTGGCATCCACTACGTGGAGTTACTGAGAGGAGTGAACCAGCTCATCATCCGAAAGCATCAGCCCTCTGTCTGCATATAGTAAGTGATCAGTGAACATTTAGCTGTTAGTAGCACTGATAATCCAAGTGCTTTGAGAGAACCGCATCTCCTGGTCTGCAGGACTGTGGCTGGGGTAGTCTGGGAATGCCTCCTGGAAGAGAAGGTATGAGGTGGGGCTTGAGGGGAGTAGGAGTTTGCCTTATAGAACTAAAGAGAATACAGGCAGAGGGATGCATGATGGGATAAGGAGTGTGTTGCTTATGTATTGGGAAGGTGGGGGGAAGAGGGTGAGGGCCAGAAAGAGCCGGAAGGATGGATGGCAGGAGGACACCAGGGAGAAAGACCCCTTGAGGTTGGGCTGTGAATGTCTCACCTGGAGAACCACAGACAACGAGCCCCTGACTCCTAGTCCAGGGGTCTTCCTGCCCCCTCCCATGGGCTTGCTCAGTACTCACAGGTAACAAGGCCCAACCAGGTAGCCCTGTACATACAAACATGCTTGCAGGACATGGCTCATGGACTCCTGTCACTGGCAGGGATGGGACCAGGCTCTCTGAAATGAAAAGCCCGGTGCCATCTTTGTGGAATACATGTCTGTCTTTGGTGAGCATCC